CTGTCTCTCTGTCGCTCTTTCATCTGTGTCTGAAAATAGATAAAAACCAAATAGGATTTCATAGTGTGACATCACAACACAGAAGCAAGGTAGTATTTTAAATTTTTAAAAATTTAACTTTTAATTAAAGTGCAATCATTGTACATGTTAATGTTGTACATTATGCTAATTTCAGCACATGTTAGCAGAGCGAACCAATCAAACCAGAGTAATTCGTATCGCTCTCTAACTGTGCTTTCTGTTTAGAGCCTGCCAGCCCCTCTCTTCCAGATCTTCATGATCTGTAACATGGGTTTGGGGTTGTAGCTACCCCACCATGCTCGCCAGTGCACAAGTGCCTTTGTCCATGCACAGCACTGTCTTTGGTTATTAAAATGGAATTTCTGTATATACACTTTAATCTGTATTCCTTTATGTGTAAAGAGTCTTTTCCTATTGCCAAGAACCATTTGTTTCCCTACCTGTGAATACTTTGCTCTCACCTTCGTTTAACTTCCCACTCAGTTTTTGATATTTTCCTAAGACCTTCCTTTCTTTGACTGCAATGTCATTATGTTTTTTTCTTATGCCTAAATTTTTATTTTTATGGTATTGATTGTGTCGATATTTTCTTCTAGGGTTTCTGGTTTTGGTAACATCCTTCCATTCAAAGATAATTAGAAATAAATCTTCCCCAGTTTTTTTTCTTTTTAGTACTTTTAGCATGTTTTTACAAACAAATTCACTTCCAATCTCTAGCATTGATTTACATTTAAAGCATGAGATAGGAGCTCAACTTACTTTTCTCCTGGATAGGTACCCACTCACCCAGGTGCCACTTACTGGGGAACTCTTTCCCCCCGATGTACTGTAGTACATGTATCACATAGACAACTCCTTTTTAAAAACATTGATCTCAGTTTGCTCTTATAAGCACGTATTTGTTTCTCCTGTTCTACTAGAATTTAAACCCAGAAGGGCAGAAATTAACTTACTATTGCACGGTCCATTTTTATTGCTTTATTCTGTTCTTTTCTTCTTTTTGTTTTTGTGGCACTGGGAATTGAACCTAGGGCTTTGGCACTGAGCTATAGCCTAATACTTTTTAAAATTAAAAGTTTTTCAAATTTTTTATTTTGAGGGAACATCTCACTAAGTTGCCCATTCTGGACTCAAACTTCCCATCCTCCTGTCAGAGTGCTGGAATTATAGGCAGGTACTGGAATATACGGCTTCTGCCCTATTTTCAACTGTGTGTTCTATTTTCTGTTTTTTATTATGTGCATGTGGGGGGCAGCCATAAAGTGGATGAGCAGAGAGATAGATGGTCTACATGATTTCAAAAGCTCCAATTTCAAAGAAAAAGCTATCAGCTGTGCAAGACACTGGCTCTAGCAAGGAGAATTTTAGCCTGAATCCGGGAAGATGGTAGAATCATGACAGTGAAGGTTAGCATTTGTGGCAGGGCTGCCTTCCATGCCTTTCAGATGACCATAGAGATTGCCAAATGTTGCATTTTCATATTGGCTGAGCTCTGAGGTCAGGATTTGGCTTGCTGAAATGGGGCCATCTTGAACAGAATATTAAGAAAAATCTCTATTATTAAAAACAAGGCAAAATTGATATCTGGGATTCAAAGGGGAATTAAATGGAATTGCACAAATCAAAATAATCACTGCTAAATGAACATATTGAAACAGTACTCTTCTCTAAAATGCACTGAGCTTAAACAGCAAGGAAGGAAACTGAGAATAGTCACATTTAAAATTAGACTTTGGAGTTAAAGTAACTAATTTCAGGCATCTAAATATTGTGGTTTTTAATAGTTGTATCACATTTCTATTTCAAACAGAAATAGACACCATCAGCTGGGTTGAAATGAGGATTCAGTGTCACACACACATGCGCGCACACACACACGTATTAGCACATGAACATTAGAAACAAATTCATGCCAATTATGAAGGCAGAACATTTTTCTGAAAAGCGCTTGATTTGAAAACCTCTGGGATCCTAAAGGCTCAGGGGGATCCTTAGAACTTTTTTTGACTACAGGAGCTCTGAGGAACTCTTATATTTGCACATTTTAGGGACAAAAGATGGATTGCTGACGGTACCCTGAGGAGCCCGGCGCGGCGCTCTGTGCGAGGACTGGTTGGATGGAAAGACTTGTTGTCTGCAGCCTCTTCCAGTGTCCTTCCTCCCCACCTTTCCCAGAAGCAGCGCATAAGAGCAGGGGTTTTCACTAGTGTGTGTTCTTTTGGAAAACTGTTGCTCAGACTGGTTTCTGTTCCTTCTGTTCCATGTTGGTGGATGGAAGAAGTCTGAAGATGTTGGGATGTTTAAGGAATGACTTGGGGAGACACTGCACATACAGCATTTTCCTAGCTTGCTGAAATTTGGCTGCTTCACTGAGCTAAATATAGCATCTAATTTAATAAGCACAGTGCTTAGATTCGCTAAGCTGCTTTTAAAAAGTAAACATAAAATGCATATAGTGGAGTATGTAAAGTTCTATGAAGAGATGTGATCTTTTCTTTCAAAAGTAAATGAGGAATTTACTTTTTGACAGTACTTTGGATGGTGCATATTTGATCATTTGAATAGAAGCAAAATTAGAATATTATTATAAAACCAACAGGAGCAACCCTGAACATCAAAAACATTCGCTTCACACTACACTTTCTCCAAGTCGTGATGATTCAGTCTACAGTTTTTCTGGCATCTGAACTTTTAGAAAAATATTTTCTTCCATACTTTCTATAAGTGAATTGAATGGCAAATGTGAAGCTTGTTTCAAAAGTCTCTTGTCTAATTTGACAAGGACGTATTTCTGCTAAAAGCATTGTATCATGACCATGATTATTTTTCAGATGGTAGAAATTAATTGCTAGAAGTATTGAGTTTGGAACATTTGTGGATCATTTCTGAGGACCAATTATTTTCTGTTCTCCATTGATTTTCTAAAGAAAAAGATGTTTATTTTTTTCTATGTTCTTGTAATATTTTCTCCATTTTACGTAGCAGTAGAGAGATTTGCCACTCTGAAGCCACTTTCCTTCAGCTCATCTGCCTGTTATTTTCCACCTGGGCTGAGTCACAGTGGTGGTGCACTTGCCTTAAGTGTCCCCTTCCTGTCGCCACCACTGTGGCCTCCCGCCACCTGCATTGGAACCTCAGCAACCTCTTCTCTCGTTTTGATGCCTCATTCTCCCCATCCTCCCGCCCCGCCTTTGGTCAGCCCCTTGTGTAAGGCGCCTCTGTGCAATGTCAGTGTCCCTCAACCTGAGGACACTCTTGACTCCTCAACTGGTGACACTGTTCCATGAACCTGCTCTGCATCGAAACTCATTTTAGGCTCATTTATATCCCGCAGAGCTCCTTGAGTTCATAATATAGCTGCTCCTTGATGTAGAAACCCAACGTCAGTTGAAAATCCTGTAGTTAAAAATGCATTGGATACACTCTACCTGAGGATCACGCTGGCTAGTGCACTGAAGAGGGCAGGATGTTCACTTTGTGACCTCTGGGCCGACGGGGAACCTATACCCACTGCCACTGTCCGGCATCCTGAGACAAGATGGAATGGATGAACCTGGAAGACATATGTTAAATGATATAAGCCAGCCTCACAGACGAGTCCCACATGGTCTTCTTACACATGGATGCTAAAATAATCAACCTGAGACCTGAAAGTAGAATACTGTTTACTACAAGTTGGGAAGCAGCTAAAGGACGATTAGATTTGGTCAGTGCATACTGTGTGCGTGTGTTGAAATATCACACTAAACCCCATTTATATGTACAATTAATGCCTATTAATCAGAAATAAAATATTTTTAAAAACAAAATTTTCTACTGAATGCAGATCACTTTTACATTCTTGTGAAGTTGGAAAATATGAAGTCAAATCATCATGAGTTAGGGGCTATCTGGATTTGTAACTGCAGAAACTGGAACTCAAGCTCAGAAGATCAGATTTTTTTTACTGTGTAACTCACTTGAAAAGGCTCTTGATCAATAGAAGTGGCTGGCTTGGTTTGCCCCCAATCCCCTAGCCATAGAAATGAAGATAAAATTGGGAAGAGTGCATTCTGGGGTGCTGATTTTTTTTTTTATTTTAGAAATTAAAGGAGGAAAATACTAACAGACCGACAACATTTTACAAAATAGCATAGGATCAGTACAGACATTACAGAGTTACAAACAGAGTGGTAGGGAATTAACAATGCTTATTGTATTACATATTGATATCTTCAATGTAGTTTCTCAT